TCAGCCTGTGATCGGATGGTCGAATTGGTAAAAAGTGTCACGTGTCACACCCCAGGTCGAATTGAACGAAATAATAGAGTATCATCAGTGCCGCCTACTATGGCCACTGAGATCAAGCCGTTGTTGGCGGCACGGTGGGTATATATAGAAAGCACAAACGAGGTGTTAGTGTGCCAACCCGAGATGCCCCAGTTCGGGGGACCCCCTGAGCGCAGCGAGGGAGGGGAGGGGCATCGAATGGTTGGTCCTCTTCGCGCACACAAAGAAAAACTGTTGTCTATTCTATCCTGTGTACAAACTTCATCACAACAAGCATTATATATCGCCTGAGGTGTCTCTGTGTGGCCCTCCACCTAATCCCCATCGTAGTATTACTGGCAGGGCCTATATAACGCTGTGTTCACGGAGTTCACGGGGTTCACAGGGAACTCCGTGAACTCTGCAATATACGTATGTTCTCCATCAGTGAGTACTCTGTTTGATTTTTGTCAGCGTTCAAACATTGTAATATTCTCAACTTTCAAGAAGAATACTACTTCTAATACCTATTTGGAATTCCTGTCATAATCAATACTGTACTATTTCAATCAGGTCAATAGTCACATGTCACGCACCCTCGTATCGATATCGAATTCTGGTCGACGCACACGTCACTCACAGGTCTATCACTCACAAACCCAAAATTCACGTTACGCAGGGCAAAATGCCTGAAAAACACCAAAAAAATCACTGGTTGAACATTTCGGATTTTTGACACTGGTTGAACATTTCAAGTTTTTCAGTGAAAAAATTGGTGAAAAGTAGTTTGAGTTTTACACAAATTTTTCACTGAAAAAGTAGGTGAAAAACTTAAAAAAGTTTTACAAAGACTTTCATATGGCTGTAATACTGTAAAAATATTACTTGTGTTTGAAAAAGTGCACACCCCTCATCTGTTGAAAGAAAAGTAGCAACCTTGATGGCTTTAATCACAAAAGTACCAACCAATGATTGAATAGAAGAAAAGTTGCACCGCTGGAGGTCTAAGCCTGATACTCTATCCAAATCATGCAAATGGGTCAGACATCCCCAGGTGGGTATCCAATCTCATCAGTTTGCCCTCGAGGCCAAAGGATCAACAGGTTTGAGCTTAGACTACTTAGTTCCCCTGTTATTCACTTCCTACAGCCTATGTGTTTCAGAGTCAACGGGAACAACCCGAACAAAGGTTAGCGGATAGAAATGGAACTGTGGACCTAGGGCACGGTGAGACTGCATCAACAGGGATGGACAATCCTGTTTCACAGATCCATCACTATTTGAAGGAATGAGATATCCGGCCAGTGGAAGGGAAGATATAAAATCCAGGGGTGCAGAGGAGAAGCGGTTTGCATGTGTGCCAGAATCCGTATCGGGATTCCGATTATGGTGTAGCGATGAACAATCCAGCCTAACAGGGTTAAAGGGTCTCATGATCCCAGGGCTACCAGTCACCCGGTCAACTTTTTTCTTTCGAAATGTACAACCTGCTCATTTTTTTTGCTATACAGTTTGAGCCAGAGACTTTTTGATGTTAAAAACAGGTTGTTACAAAGTGGAATTATTTTACACTATTACAGCCATACTTTCACTTTGAAACACTGGTTGAACATTTCACATTTTTGACTGAGAAATTTGGTGAAAACTATTTTGAATTTTACACCAATTTCTCAGTGAAAAAATAAATGGTAAACTTCAAACTTTTTGGTAGATATCTTGTGATATTTCAAATTTTTCAGCATTTTCTGACTCAAAATCACAATTTTCATCAAAAGGTTTCAGGTTTTTCACAAATTTTCAACTGAAAAATTTGTGTGAAATTCAAAATAGTTTTCACCAAATTTCTCAGTCAAAAATCCGAGATGTTCACCCAGTGAAAGGTGAAAAATTTGAAATCAAGTCAGAAAGTGGTGAAAAGGTTTTGAGTTTTTCACTTATTTTTTCAGTGAAAAATTTGTGTAAAACTCAAACTACTTTTCACCAATTTTTTCACTGAAAAACTTGAAATGAACCACTTGCATCGAGGTGTCATGTGTCCCGATGCAACCGAGCTAATAAGCATGTTGACGAAAACTTTGAATGTGGCCGTCCCGAGATAAGCATGAATGCGTGTCATGAAGGCTTTATTGACCTTCACATGGTGGCTACACGTTTTTCCCTTTCCGCTTTCCAAGTTGGCTGCTGAGAACTGAGTGCAATCGTCATCAAAGACGGACGAGTCAGATGAGCTACTCGAGTCCGAGTCCGAGTCAGACTCGTCATCCGCTCGATGTGCTTTCTCCCTCTTCCGCCTACTCTTTCCCTTTCCCTTTTTCGCCTCCTTCTGCGCTGCGAGACTGTTGCACTCGTCTGTGTCGTGGCTGGTGGAGCGATGGAAGGAGCACCATTTTTTCGACTTGGATTTCTTCGGAGGTTCCGAAGATTTGGATTTGAGTGCTGACTCGGACGCGGGTGTTTCTGTGGAGTTTCCCGCGACACGGGTGACCTCAGCGATAAGACGTTCCGAGACGTCGTCGAAGTCGAGGGCAGTGCCGGGGGGAAGCGAGCTGACGACAGAAGACTTGAAGTTCTCCCATTTGGGATCGGTAGGAAGGGATTGGAGGAGCAGGAAGGCAAGAAACTCTTTGTCTAGAGCTTTCCGCATGGCTGTGAGTTTAGCGGCGGCGGCATTGATAAGACCGATGTGATCCTCAAAGCATTGTCATGTTCAATTGTGGCCTGATGGATTCGGATGAGCTCGTTGTAGAGCGTTTCTGCGGTGTCGAGATGATCAAGCTTGAGCGCGAGCTGGTCGGAGATGTGGTCGATGATGATGCCGTGGGCTTTACCATCACGGACTTCCCAGGTGTCAAGATATGTGCCAGAGGCGTCACCAGGCAGAGGAACCTGGAGAGCGGTGGGTTTCCCCGCGACCTTCTCTCGTCTGAGTTTGCAAACGGTGCAGATGTTCCATATTTGAAACTTTTGGGCCCATTGAGGACGGGGCATGTGGTTGTGTCTTTTGAAGACGGGGAAGACATGGTGGCAATGACGTGGCAAGTGATGTCCACGAAAGAAGCCTTGTGAAGGCTATAGAGCGAGGTCGAGCTTCGCGAGCTCAAGAGTCGTCTGATTTAGATCTTGTATCTGTGGTGTGTGCTAGCGGGGCCCATAACCTATCAGAGATCTAAATAAAAATAATATGCAAGTATGCACTACAATAAATGAGTACAGGTAGAATGTAAGTAGGATAATCAACGTACCTCAGCCGCACTGCGAAGAGTAGAACGACTGAGGACCAGAACAAATAAATAAAAACTTATATATGGGCGGTGCTGTAGCACGTAGGCAATATTAGATGGGCACCTGGTTTGGGGATTACCCCGGACATCCGTCTCTGACATGTCAGACTCAAGGAGTTAGATGAACTGTTATCCGGGCCTGTGGCACTTGGTGCTGATGAGTTCCCGAACTTCTCCTCCAACATGGGCCAGTCGTCCAATGTTCCATTTCCAACTAGTGTCGCCGGAAAGTAGAACTGGCCATCAATAGTATCCTCTTTGGTGGTGCTGGAACTGTTCGTCGGCATTGCGAGGGAGGATATGGATGGAATAGCGAGCAGCAGAAAGACATATTTCGGCGTAAACATTAAGGAGAAGGGGGAGCAGAAGTTGAACTGGTACCAGACGACATCAACTTTCGGACTTCTGCAGGTTTATAAATTGTAGCGTTGACAACAGTCATCCGGTCATTGCGGAACAGCGGTAACTGTATCCCTGGATATAGGTTGATATACATGGGATTTAGGATCTGGTCATTGTTCTAGTACATTACATCGATGATATCAGCCGCCTCGAGGTGTATAGTGCCACATGGGCCCCCAGGGGCCCGCGCGCACTTTAATGGAATTATGAATGAATGAATGAACGTTTGCCCGACCGCAATTTCGGTAGCTCCGGGTATTCATTTCAGACTTCGGCACGGATCACTGGCAAGTATCGTTGCCAGGCCAGAAGGATTCATTGTTCGAACAAGTCAGGCCTGGCAGTTTACTTAATTGCGCCCGGCACTTCGTTCTCCGAGAGTCGTTAAGTTCTCAACGTGAACAGGAACTACGTATGGGAAGAGGGTATACATGATGGTGTGTTGAATAAGCAATAGTATTTTCTGCCGCAGAATGAATCTGCTGGAACTCGTTTTCCCGGCCCTGTTTGCTTGTCGGGACCATCCTAACGGTGAAAACCAGAGACGGTTTGTAGGTATTCCAAAAACGGAAGCACTCGTCCGCTTACCTGAGACAAGATAGGCCTTCGCTACGCTCCGGCCCAACTCGGCACTTGACAAAGTGACAATGGCCGAGGCGACAATCCCGACTCATTGGGTATTATTGCGGGGAAAATTGCTGCGGGAAGTCACAGCCTCAAGCTTGACGCCCTGCAGCACAATTTCACGCAGTCGTAGGATTACAGCCGATCAATAGCACCGTTCAACAGCTAGTTGAGTCTTAACCATGTGATGGTCTGCTATCTGCAACTGCTGTTCAATTTAACAGCTTTCAAATGCGATGGTTGCCCAAAAACAGAAGCCAAGGAAAGCTGTAGCTGTTGGTGAGAGTAAAACTCCGAAGACAGATGTTTGGTTTGTTCTTGGCTTGGTCTTGGCTGGTTTTTGGGTGAATCAAAACTGCGGAAAGGTAAATAACAGCCCGTCATCTCGTTAAAGAAACGAAGTATATCATCCCAATTGGGACATCCGCCCGACATTGAGGCGGGACGACTCCCAGCTCGAGCAGATATGGCGCTGCGCAGGATCGAAACAGTTGGGAAGAGAAACCGAAGGGGTTGCTTTGACGAGGGTTTGGTTCTTCTTTGGACCAGCCGATAACACCGAGATTGCGGATAATCGATAAGGAATTATTACATAGGTCAGCGAGTGGCAGATGATTTGACCCAGGTTCGAACTGGGAACCGCCTCCTGACCCAGAGGTAAACTCAGCTTTCGTCGGTCTGGTGGTGTAGTTGGTTTATCACATCTGCTTCACAGTGCGGCTATCCCGGTGTACGCAGGCGGTCCTCGGTTCGATCCCGGGCCAGATCATTTTGTCTCCCTCTTCTGCATCTTTTGCCATTCTCATTTCCTTTTTATTATCGTCAAGCCCTCTTTTACTCCATCAAACATTGGTTCGCTCAAAGTGATACACGTATCAATTGGGAGTAGGACATCGATACAGGTTGTGGTCGTCAACGTAAAAGATCATACAGTGGGTGGGTGCGACGCGAACGAGGTGGTGCATCGCGGGAGGTAGAAGAACGGAAGTGAGATAAAATGACAGAAAGCGGATGCAGGGAGAGCGGAGGTGGCGCGAGGGGAAGAGATAGAGAACCAGCCGCCTACAGATGTTGTATCCGAAACCCAAAGTTCTTTGTTTTTGTAAGAAAGGTCCAAGCAATAATCATCAGTGAGATTAAGCGTTCAAACAATGTTTCGTTTTAAAACAGCTCCACGGCCGCTCGTCGCTCAGACATGATACCGACCACCTTGCTCTCAAAGTCGAACATGCTCCCACCCTGATACGCAACAAGCTCTTCCGCATCCGCACCCAGATCCAATCCCAACGCGCGATCCATATTAGTGGACGCGAGCGCCATGGCAGTGGAGTAGTCGATTGCCCCGTCTGCATCCAGGGCGGCCTAGAGAATTCAAGAGTGAGCAAGTATGAAGCAGTCAAATAAGTAAATAACAAAGACGCACCCAAGCAATCTCGAACCGCGCATTGCGCGCATCATAGTCGGCTTTCACGCCGAGGGCAACGTTAACGCCGTGCTCGAGGAGGGTCATAACCGACGTCTTGCGTGTCAGCGGTGGGCCGGGAAGACTAGTGGCAAGTAGAGGTGTAAATACCGAGGCAAATCGCACCAGGTACAAGACAACTCACATGCGGCGGCGGTCCCACGTTTCAGGATATGGTCTAGCGGGCGCAAGGACGACGCTGACGCCCGCCGCGCCGATTTCGGCCGCGAGAAGGTGCGCCTCCGTCGCGCCTGCGAAAGTCATGCGCAACCTCGCATGGGAGCCGACGTCGAATTCCGCCTTGAGGGAGAGCAGCGTCGCCATTATGTCTGCGTTGTGGACGGTTACGACGAGCGGAATCTCTCCCTTCGAGAATATATGAGCGTCTTTGCAAAATGAAGGTGCAACTCTAATTTGGACTCACAGCTCTGACCCGACCCCAAGGCCCCGTCGGCACGTCCTTAGAAAGCAACATATTGCGCAGAGCGGCGATCTGCGTGCTGACACTCGCGCGCATTTCGGAATGGACGGAGACGTGCAGCGCCGTCTCGGCGTGGATGATTGCGCCTTCGGCAAGCGCATTGCTCGCACCGGTGGAGAACGCCGTGCCCACGCCCTGGAGGAAGCCCCGCCCCATCGGCGCAACAACCGCCGTCGTTACACCCGCCCGATACGCGTATCTGCGTGCTTAATCAGCCCAGCCCGACCCCATTGTCCACCGTAAAACATGGAAGAAGACTCAACGTACAGCGTGTTCCGCCCTCCAAACTGCAGCCCGTCCACCGCGCGGATAACAGTGTTTCCTAGGATCGGGGGCACCACCGCCGTGAGAGGATCGAACACGCGTCCGTCGGTCGTCGACGGCTCGAGCATGATCTCGCTCAGCCCCAAGTCCGAGCCGAACGTCGTCAACCCCGGCGCCAGCATCCCGCCCATAAGGTCCACAACCTCCGCGTCCTCCGCACCCGCCGCGGAAGCGCATTCGTCGTCCACACCCATGCGCGCAACGCACTGCACAGCCCCACCACTTACGAGTACGTTCCACCTCCCACTCTCAGCATCCGCATAACTCTGCCCCGTGCGGCGGCGCGTCCACACCTGCGTCACGTTCGCGAACAGCACCGCACCCTTCGTGCTCCTCCTTCCCTCAAGCGGCGGCAACCCCTCATACTCAATCGTCTCTTTCACCTCCCTCTCCCATCTCGGCGTCCGAGGCACAGTCTGGAACGAGTCAGGCTTGGACGGCGTCGCGGGCTTCGCGAGCTGCGGGATACCGTCGATGTACACCTGCACGGGCGTCGCGCCGAGTGCGAGCGGGTGGGAGTCCCAGATGACGAGGTCTACATGTACGGGCGACAAGGAATGATTAGTATTTATTCGTTGCGAAGAAGCGGAACCTGAGACTGGACGGTGGGAGTTGGGGCTCACCAGCGTCATAGCCTGCATCTCAGTCAGTCGTACTGAAACAGCGACTCGTACAATCATGGAACGGACCTGCAACCAGCGATCCAACGCGCCAGCCAACACCCAACGCAGCTGCGGGTGTCGACGTCACGGACGCCAGCGCAAGCCCGGAGTTTAGGCTGTGGTAGTGCGCTTGCTGCGCCTCGTACATCAGGTTTCGCGAGTTGAGCACGGGGTGGTCAGACTGCGCGTGCGTGGAATGGTTTAATGGTTTAGAGAAACTGGCACAGGGAATCACCGACCTTCATGATCACAGGCAACCCATTGTCCGCCAGGATGCGGGGCGCGAACTCGGAGCCGCGGTAGGCTTCGCGTTTCTTGCTGCGTGTCATTAATGTAAATCAGTATCCGTATTGTTGTCAGTTACACAGTGGTGGAGTGGCCGAGTGGAGAAAGGGAGGGAGGAAGGCAGACCAACGCACCGGAAGTTGGACGCGAAGAGCGCGATGGCGGGGAGGTTGCCCTGAGAAAGAATGGATGTCAGCTCAGCAAAATGAATGCAGAGGGCAGGAATATTTAATGAATAAACGGGAAAGAGCAGAAATAAATAAAATGGCAAACGAAAGAGAACAGGGAGAGAAAGAAGTCAGAACGACCCACCCAAGCCTTCTTCAACAAATTCGGCACGAGGTACGTCTCGCCCGCGTGGTGGATCGATGCGATAGGGAACTTGAATTCGTTCGAGAGCTGGTTGTGTGGTGGGCGATTCGAATTGGTGCGGGATTCAAACAATCCAGAGATCGGTGTGAGTCAAAACCAAAATCAGCTCCAAAACCAGAGTAAAGTGAGAAGATGAGTGAGACGCACGCGCACAAGCTGATCGAGGTCCACCGCCTTTCAATTTATAACCGTGAGTTTGTTATCTTTGTATGTGGGGTCAAAGAATGTGGAAACGAACCTCATAGCAATGCACCGAGAGCTGGCGTGTCAATATCAGCATGAGTCAGTTCAATAGTTTGACCGGCGGTTTGACATTGAAAAGAAAAGGAAACCCACCTTAACCCGCCCCCGCAACACATCAACCAGTGCCTCCCACTGCAGGCTCTCCGGGAACGCCGTCTCCCCGTCCCACGATCCCTGCTCCGCCGCCTCGCAAAACACATCCTGCGCATCGCGCACTTTGCGCGCCTCGTCGTACGCGCGGCGGAACGCCCACGCGCTGTCCATGCGCGTCTGGCCGTAGGTGCGGGACGGGTTCTCGCCGCATGCGTGTCTGTGGAGGGGGTGAGAATTGGGTTGGGGTGGAATAGAGGTGAGCGTTGGGAGTAAGGTGGAAGCGCGGTGAAATTTATCCGCAAGGGCGTTGAAAATCAAGCCAAATGGAAGTGAAAAGCGAACCAAATGGAAGTGAAAAGCGAACCAAATGGAAATGGAATGAAATATGGAAGTATGGGAGGGAAAGGAAGCAACACAACACAGACTTCATGTGGCGCCACTTCGGTCTCCCATCGGAGCTATTGAGGCCGAGGGTGAGCGGCGGCTCGAGGAGCATTGCTTGGACGGAGCGCTCCGCGGTGGGGCGCAATTTGATGAGGAATGCTTGGCCGCCTGTGGATCAATTGCATTAGTAAAGGATGAAAACGTGAAGAAGAAGGAAGAGAGACGAAAATCAAACGAAAATGTGAAAGAAAAAAAAGGGATAGAAATGCTAAAAAGATGAAAAGTGCGCACCAATATTATTCGCGCTGCCCGGCAGAATCTGCGCCGTCGTCACTCCACCAGCAATCGCAAGCCGGTAGGCGTCGTCGTGCGTGTTTAGCCCGTCGATTGAGCGAAGCCAGGGCAGAATCGGGGACTTGTGGGAGTTGCCGTCCGAAGCGCCTGTGTAGTTTCGTAAATTGAGTGATTTAGTTAGTTAAAAAGCCAGAATTAGTAAAAGCTGTAAACGCACCATCCAATTCCGGCGCAGAGTCAACGCCCAGATGCGAGTGCGCGTCCACAATGCCTGGAGATATCCACTTCCCGCCAGCGTCAATGACTTGCAGGTTCGAAAGCGCGCTGGTGAGCGCGTTGGGAATGTATCCGACGCCCATGACGACGCCCTTGTCGAGCAGCACGTCGCCAAAGACCACCTCCGTGCCGTTCCGCGCACCCGTCAGAATCTTCGCGTTCCGGATGAGCACCGCGCGCGTTCCCTCCACGAACCGGTCCGAGCCAGATGTAGTTCTCGACGCGATAAAGTCGACAGACGGCTCCAGCGACGTGTGAAGCGCTCTGCATTGCGCCGGGACCGATATTCTGGTGGCGTTTCTGCTGGAGAAGGGAAAGCGGAATGTGAGGAATAGCGCGGTCAAAGCGCTGGCGACGAGAAAGTGCCACCAATTCCGCTTGGTGTCCCCCATGGTGGCGAGAAGAGAAGATAGCTGGGTGACGCGATTGATAAGCCGGCCGAAAATGGCAATCCGGAGATCCCACCATCCCGCGATCCTTCCCGAACATTGTTCCGGGTGTGTCCGCTCAGCGTATTGAAAGTGAATGCTATATACAAAAAAAAAAAAAAGGTAAGATTTCTTTCCATTTAAGAACGTTAGTTTAAAATTTACGGCTTACGAAAAGGTATGTAGTTCAAAAAACAAAATCAACCAAACTGAAAAGACTCGGAGGAGGGAACAGCCAGAAACTAGAAACAACAGAAACAACGAACACAGACAGCAAGAAGGGGCGCGAGGAAAGTTTTGTGAATGTTTCAGGATCCCTGGTAGCTTTGGTAGCTCTGATAGCAGCAGGTACCAGGTGCAACCGGGTGCTACAGAGAAAACAGGTGTGGCTACCAAGGGCTACCAAGCCATTGCAGGTGGCTACCAGGTGCTACATAAAGGGGACTTGTCGATGAGGCAATGCAG